TTCAATGCTACCAGACGGGCCTCGCGCGCATGTCGATATTGTTCGAACGCCCATGCGCGCGTGCTGGGGTGGCACTATCCGTGTCAAATAATACCACGCGGGCCACTCTCGCGCGTCTGCCGCGCGCGCATTTCGAACTCTTTCCAAAACCTGCATCTCCGACGCGGGGACGCCGTCATCGTCGTCGGCGTGATCAGCATCGGCGCAGTTACTGGCTGCCCCGTCTTCGCTGTCAGCATCGTCACCATCATCGCTTCTTCCATCATTGTCTACCGTTGTCGACGTTGCCACGATACCGCGCCCGCGCAAGTCGCCGACTCGCACTGAAGTCCCAGCTGGGATGTGCCGAGCGGTCAGCGCCACCGCGTTCGCGTCGGTCGCGCCAAACTAGCCGGCCGCTGCGCGCGAGAGCATGCGCGGGCTAGCGCGGCCGCAGAGATGCACCAGCCAACACCCAGCACTCATCGCAATCGCTTCCGCATGGGTTTTGCAAACCGAGTTGCGGGTAAATGAGTGGGAGGATTGCGCGAGCAGTGGAGTTGACAGCTTCAAATTCGGCAAGCGACTTGCACTACATAGACTGCACAACCGGTCTGGCTAGACATCTCATGCTTGGGGTCCACGCTGGCGACCATTCTTACAAAACCTTATGTTTTTTGTGTTAAGATATGTACGACGTCTTTGGGAAAACATAAGAACGTCAGTAAGAACATGTTCATCCTCGCCCTCCTCCTTGTCTTCCTCCTTGTCGTATTGCCGTCGCTGATCTCGCTGTTGCTGTTTTTCTAGTCGGTGTCGTCATCGTTGTCGTCGTGGTCGTCGCCCCCGTCATCGTCAATTTCGCCGTCCTCGTCGTCGCCGTTTTCCTCGCCATCGTCCCGGTCCTCGCCATCGTTCTCGTCGTCGTCCTGGTAGTCACCCTCGGCGTCGGCGATGTCGTCGTCGTTGTCGTTTCCGTCATCGTCGCTGTCGTCGTCGTCGTCCCCTCCCGTCTTCTTCATCGACGTCATTATCTCGTCGTCGTCGTTATTTCCTTTGTCGTCGTCCCTCGTTGTCCTCGTCGGTGTCGGTCACGTCGTCGTCGCCGTCGTGTTCGCCTTCATCGTCTTTGCCACGTCGTCGCAGTCGTGGCTCTCGTCGCCAACAAAAAACCATGTAATCTATGACTCGTCATCGTGGTTGTTGTGATTATCGCCGTTGTGGTCGTCGTCGTTGTAGTCGTTGCCGCCATCGTCGTCGTCGCTCTGCTTGCCGTCCTCGTCGTCACGCCGTCGTCCTCATCGGGTTCCCCGGCGTCGACGTTGTTGCCGTCGCTCTCGTCGTTGTCATTGTCGCCCTCGTAGTCGTTGTCACCATCGCCGTCGTCGTCGTCGTTCTCGTCGCCGTCGTCCGCGTCGTCATCGTCGCCCTCGTCATGGCCAGCACCGTATTAGTCGTTGTCGTCGTCCTCGTCCTCGTCGTTGTGGCTCTCGTCGTTGTCGCCCTCGTGATGTCCTGCTGGATGGACTGAGAACTAATATAATGCCCCGCCAGACCCGACCCGCCCGTCAGGGTCCGCCCGCCCGACCCGCCTGTTCGGGTCCGCCCGCCCGGCCGGCCCGTCAAGGTCCAACACCCGATCCGCCTGTTGGGGTGCGCCCACCTGGCTCGCCCGTCCAGGCAACGGTCGGCAATCGTCGCAGTCGCCGCCCTCATCGCCGACGTCGTCGTCGCACTCCTCGCAGGGATCCGTCGTCGTCGTTGTTGTCGTCGTCCTGGTCGTCGTCGTCCTCGTCGCCGTCGTCCGTGTCGATCACGTCGTCGCCGTGTGGGCCTTCGTCGTCGTCCTCGTCGTCGCCGTCGCCATCGTCCATGTCGTCGCTCGAGCCAGCTATGCCTCATCGTCGTCGTTATCGTGGTTGTCGTCGTTGTCGCCGTTGCCGCCGTCGTCATCGCCATCGTCGCCGTTCTCGTCGTCATCGTCGTCGTCCTGTCACCCTCGTCGTCTTCGCCCTTGCGGTCTTTGTTGTTGTCGCCATCGTCGTCGTCGCCACCTCCGTCCGGCCGCCCGGCCTGTACGTAAGGGTTCGCCCACCCGACCCGCCGGTCAGGGTCCGCCTGCCCGACCCGCCCGCCCGATCCGCCCAGAAGCGTGCGCCTGCCCGTGGGGGTCGTTGTGGCAGTCGCCGCCGTCACCGCCGTGGCGCTGTCGTCGCCGTTGCCGTCGTCCTCGTAGTCGCCGTCGCCTCCGTCTCCTTCTCAACCTCGACGTCGTCTTTCTAGTCGTTGTCATCGTCGTCGTCCCCGTCATGGTCAGCATCGTCGTAATTAGTCGTTGTCGTCGTCGTCGCCGTCGGCGTCGTCCTCGTCGTCGTCGCCCTCGTCGTCGTCGTCGTCGCTCTCGTCGTCATCGTCGCCTTCCCAATTTCGTCGCACGTGGCGAAGAGAAACAGCATGATTTGTGTGTGTGCGTGTGTGTGTGCGTGTGTGCGTATGTGTGTGTGTGTGTGTGTCGCAGCCCCCCCTCCCCCCGCCCTGTTAGTACACGACGGGTCGAGCAGGGCACTGTATATTTCCGCACCCCTGTGCTGCCACGTGACGAGAGCAGAAGGATGTGAGTGTGTGTTCCGCCCTCTGGGTTGCCCCTGTCCTCGATAGGACTGAATCGTAGATGCGCGCACGCCCCAAGAGACGACCCATGTGACGGATAGGGCACAACGCTATTAGTGTCCGCCGCCTTCTGCTGGCGCGTCACGAGTAGAAGCAGAGTGGAACAATATGTGCTTCGCCTCCCTGCGTTGACACACGGAGTGCACAATCGAATAGGATGTGTTCGCCCCCCCAAGGCGTTCCCATGCTGCGGGTAGGGTCGACGATCGAAGATGTCCAGAGGAGTTCGTATAGATCCCAGAGGATGTCCAAAAAGGATTACTGCGATGTCTTTGCGCTTCCCATCTGAAACGTACACGTGCTCATTTCTAATTGTGCTCGTTTCTGATTGTTCCTGGCCCCCTAGTGGCTAGGAAGAGGTCCAGGATAGAACAATTAGAAATGAAAGGATCTTGCCCCTCAAAAAAATCAAATAACTTTCGAATACCTAGAAATGAACCATGTGTAAACCTTTGACCAAGGAGTCCTTTGGATTCCTTATGCTTCCCTGGGACCCCCGAGGTTTCCCTAAGGATTCCTTCGGATACCCTTGGGGAGCCTCAAACATGTTCTACGTGGATGCCCACTTCCCAGCGGACCGTCGGGCTGCTGATGTTTATTTAGTAGCCGGCCAGCCGGCGACCAAAAGAATACGAAAGCAACTGAAACACAGCGGTACTAGAAGAGGCTAACAGCTACGACAAAGAAACAAAGGAATACGAAAACAACACAACGAGTGCAAGACGAAACTAAAGTGAATCATGCTAGAAATCAAGGAAGAATAGCACAAGCAAATAAGGATCCCAGGGGTCGGGATACCAAACCAACTAGTGGATCGTAGGTTCCTGAGGTGGCCCTCTGTGGGGGACAAGCCCACTGTTGTTCGAGCAGATGGGAGCGGAGGAGCGCGCCGCATCGCCGATGCATCGCCGATGCGTCCTCGATGCATCAGCGACGTCGGCGATGCATCGGCGCCATCGGCGTGGAGAGATACAGCCGGGGCGTTGACCGAAGGAACCCTAAATAAGGAACGAGGCTCCTTTTTTCCATAAGTTAAACTTCGATCTCCCATCGAAAACAGAAGGAAAGCCTGAGGCAAGCTGTGAAACAATCAATGAACACCGAGCCCCTCCCCAACGAACAGGGTTCCTTCTTCAGCGCCCCGACTGTAAGCCCCCACATCGAGCTGCATCGCCGATGCATCGGCGGTACGGCGCGATCCGATCCCTCCACTCGGACCTCATCTGGGCAGCGGCCAGGGGCCTTCTCGGAAGGGCCCCCGGGGACTCCGAGAGGGCGCCTTAGAAGCAGGAAGGGCTTCTGAGAGGCCTCCTGCCTTCCTAGCAGCCACTCAGGCTTCGTAGAAGACCACCCCCAACCCTCGCCAGACGTCCTCGCGGCGTGGCAGCATCACGACGGAAGCGTTGTGCAACTTGCTGGCTCCAGGGGACCACGGCCCTCACGCATTGGCCAGGGGACCGTCAAAACTGGGCTCGCTCGGCAAGGCTTCCAGGGACCCACTTTGTGAAACATCACCACGTCTAGGGTCCCGGTCCTCCTCCCCCCTGCCCGACCCTGCCACCCCTCCCCCTCCCCTCCCCCTCCTCGTCCGCCGCCGCAACAGCACCGCCAGCAGCCCAAGATGTGTACGCACGTCGCAGGCTCCAAGGCAGACCTGGAACGACGAGCAGGGCTAGTCTGCACTGGGCGAGCTCGCGCGCTGAACCTCCGCTCGGAGAGAAATATGCCCTGATGGTGTCACTTTTTTCTCTGAAAGCGGCCACGCCACCAGTGACTCCAGCAAGCGTCGCCGCGTGAGGCCCGAGGTGGCCCTGGAGCCACGAGAGCTGCTTTGAGGGCTCCTGTCGTCTGCGAAACCACTGGCAGGCGTTCAGGCCTGCACGCTTGCAGGTGTTTTGAATGCAAGCAATGCTCGCACTGTCATGAGGAGTTGACACGAAACATCCTCGCCCCTCCTCCTCTGAGCTTCCTCCCCTCCCCTCGCTCTTCTCTTCTCTTTGCGTCGGTTCCCTTCTCTCCCCATTACTTCTCTTGCCTCTGCCCATCTCCTCTTCGCCCTGGGTGCGACGTTGGGACCTAACACCGCGGGCAGAGGCGGGCGGGGACACCCATCCGTAAGTGGGGGCCCCCCAAAAAGGGATCTGGCAGTGGAACAATTGCCCGGCTCCTCCTCCTCCGCCCTCCTCCTCTCCTCGCCTCCTCCTCCTCCTCCTCTCCTCCTCCCTCCTCCTCCGCCTCCCTCCTCCTCCTCCTCCTCCTCCTCCTCCTCCTCCTCCTCCTCCTTCTCCTCCTCCTCCTCCCTTCCCCCCCCGCGCGCGCGGGATGCCGCTGCTCGCCGCGCACGGCCGCGCCTGCCGCCTTCGCCCGCTCCTCGTCGGCGAAGCGCTCCTTCAGCCGGGTGGGCACCTGCGGCCCAAGAAGCTCGCCGGCACGCCCGAGAGGAGCGGCGAAAAAAAAACGGGTCGTGCGCGCGATGGCGTGGCGACCTGACGCGGCGGCTCACGGGGGCCGCCCGCGCGGAGCGCGAAGCCGAAGCGAGGTCGCCAACGCGCGACCTTGCGCGGGCGGCCTGCGCGCCAGCGTGGGTGAAGACGATCCCGTTCGTCTACGTCGCTCGAGTGGGTACGAACATCATGGGCGCAATGCCAAACATCACATGCGGTTCGAGTCCGACAGCGGCCGCTGGTGGCCAGGCGGCCTGCTGTCTCAACTGGGCCACGTCCGCGGCGACACCGACAGCGAGGCCTGCCCAGAATGAGGAGGGACTGCTGCCGGTCTTTGTTCGCATTGCATTCTTTCCGCACTCGTGCCGCTCGTCCCGAGTTCGAGGATGCAGTGAAAGCCAGTGATGCGGACGCGCAGAGACGACGCACGGGCCCTGGGCGCCCAGGCCGAAGCTGCTGAGCGGCGCCCGACGCGCCGGGGAGGCTCAGGCACGGCCGAAGAGGCAACGTCGAACGGGCACCCTTGTAGGCGCTTCCTTTGATTCCGAGCTTCGACATGCAGCCGAAGGGTGGAGGGAAGGGGGGGGGTCTTGGTCTGGGCCAGCGCTTCGTCGATGTGCTTCTGCCAGTCGCGCAGGCAAACTGGGAGGGGAGGGGTCCTGACTGGTCGCCAGAGACCCGCCAAGGGCAGCCATGATCTGGTCTACGAGGGGGGGAGGGGGAAGGGGCGAGTGCCTACGCCGATCGGCGAAACAATGCATAAAAGACGGCGACCTTGGAAAGTTGCAGTCGTGAGCTTTTGCTTAGCGTGTAGCGGCGGCGGCACCACCGACCGGCTGTGCCTTGCAAGCGGATTGCGTGTCGCTCCGCTCTGTGGGTTGGGAGGCCGGGAGAGGCGCGTGGCGTTGACCATCGGGGGCGGGCGCGTGGACTGCGTGTCGCGCCGAAGCGCGGTGGGCCAGAACCGGCGGAGCGACTCGCTGAGCCGAAGTTCCCGACCGCGTACCTCGTCCGAGCGATGCGGTCTGACCGTAGAAGGCCGAAGTGGTTGCACGAGCTTGGCCCTGTCTGGTCCCTGGAGACCTGTGGGGACCCCTGGGGACCTCCAGGTGGACCGACCGCGCTACTCTTCAAGTCCCAAGGAGCGAAGGAGCAGCAGGGGTCGGAGAAGCAGCGAGGAGGGGGAGGGGAGCATACAAAACCCTGGGCGCTGTGATTTTTCATGACGTTGTCCCCCCAGAGTTCTCGACCCCCAGAATGCGTTGTTCATCCCGAACAGTTACTGAACGGGCCCGGGGCCCAGCAATGGCCCCCTCCAGGAGGCCGAAGGTTGGACATAAACCCATCGCCTTGTATGTTTTGCACAAAGCGAAGTGGTTTGGCTCCCATTCCCCATCCTACCTTATCCTCCTCCTCCTCCTGCTCATCCTGCTCATCCTCCTCCTCTTCCTCCTCTTCCTCCTCGGTTCCTCTTCCGTGGCTCCTCCTCATGCTCCTGCTCCCTCTCCTGTCCTTCCTCTTCCTCCTTCTGCTACGACGACGCCGACGACCACGACCAAGACAACCGCGACGACGACGACGACGATGACAACGACGATGGCGACGATGGCGGCGACGACGACGACGACGACGCCGACGCCGACGACGCCGACGATGGCGGCGACGGCGACCACGACGACGACGCCGACGACGACGAGAGCGACACCGACGGCGACGGCGGAAGCGGCGGCGGCGGACAACGATGACGACGACGACGGCGGAAACGACGACGAAAACGACGATGACGGCAGCGGCGGCGGCGACGACGACGACGACGACGTCTCGCGCCGGCATGACAAGGGGCCAGGCCTGAGCTCGGGCCACCTGCCTGGGGGTCTCGCCCTGCGGCGAGGCGAGCTCCTCGGGTGGGCTCGTCGCCGTCGTCGCCGCCGCCGAGGGGCGAGGGCTTCCTAGAGGTCCACGGCGAAAGCAGAGAAGGAGAAGGAAAGAGAGGAAGAAGCACGAGCGCTAGCGAGGAAACAGGAAGAGGCGGGCGGCTCCTCCTCCTCCTCCTCGTTCCTCCTCCTCCTCGTTCCTCCTCGTTCCTCCTCCTCGTTCCTCCTCCTCCTCCTCCTCCTCCTCCTCCTCCTCCTCTTTGGGCGCCACTTGCCAGCGCCTCGTCAGGGCCGGCCGCACTTGCCAGCCACAGGCCGGCCCAGCACGTTCGAGCTGGCGCCCCGCGGCTGCTCGACCGGGCGACCGGCACACAGTCGGCCTGGATTGGACGGGACAGGCGAGAGGACACAAGACCCTTGCGAGGGCCACATCGCCATAGGAGTATAAGAATGAAGTGGCCCCAGGACACACAAATAAATACACACAAATGAAAAGATTCCCCATATTTTCCCATATTTTCTGGGTTTCTGTCTTCCCCCCCACTTCCCATATTTTCCCATCTTTTCCTGGGAATCGACGAATGATTGTGTCTGTGTGTTTCTTTCCCTCCTGACACATCGCCATAGGAGTATAAGAAGGCACGTGTCGCGAGGCACAGGACACGAGGGCACCCTTGAGCTGGCAGGGCCGACCTACTAGTCCGGGCCGGCCGTATATGCGGGTACAGCAGCGCGGCGGCGCATCCCGGTCGGCACGCACCAAAGGTCACTCCGGCCAAGGGTCACTCTTACGTGTCGTCGAAGTGTGGGCCACGGCCTCTGCCAGGGCCCAGCCCTGCCTGTACGACCAGCGCTGCTGGCAGGCAGCAGAGCTCTCAGCACGGTGCAGCGCGGGTGCGGCAGGAACGACTGCGCTCGCGCCCCTGCTGCGGTAGGCCCGTGTGTCGCGCCCGGCGTCGGCGCTGGTCTCTGGCACTGCGGAGATCTTTCAGCCTTGAACGATCCTTTGAAGGGGCCCGGGGACACACAAAGAAGTACACACAAATAACAGGATTCCAATATTTTTCCATGTTTGGGGGATTTTCGTCTTCCCCCCCACTTCCCATATTTTTCATACTTTCCTGGAAATCAGCGATTACTTGTGTCTGTGTGATTTTGTCCCTCCTGATTTGGAGCGCCCGTAGTATCCAGTGTAACTCGGGCCCGGGGTAACTCGGGTTCGGATTCCCGACAAACGAACCCGAATTAGCCCTGACCCGAGTTACCCCTGATTACTTGGGGCTCTGGGCGCCCGAATCATCCGGGGTAACTCGGACCCGGGTTGACCCGAGTTACCCCTGATGATTGGGGGCTCTGACGATCGGCCGTTTCCGAAGCGTCAGGTCGTTCAACATCGACCGAATCTGGGCCGCCGCCGGCCTTCAACGCTGAGCGCTGGCGACGGCGTCGCCGCCGGTCGACACGACGCGACCCTGCGGTACTGATGTGCACTGCCCCATCAGAGGCTGCGCTGCTACGGGTCCTGCCCGCTGGGATTCCAAGAGAAGCTGCTCGACTGCGGGCTCACCACGTTTGATTCGCAAGGTCCTGCACGTCTGACCCTCTCCCGAGAGGTGCTTGCTGCTCTGACTCAGAGCCGCTGAGGCATTCCTTTTGGGTGGCCACCTGCGCCAACACCCCCAAGATACAATGCGCTGCTGCTCTGGGTCCTACATGTGCTGCGAGGGCCCAGCATGAAGCCCGCTTCGTAGTTGAAGGCATTGTTTATGGACCCGTCGAGGGAGGCTGCCTTGTACTGCTCCGCGCCAAAGAGGGCACCAAAAGGAATTGCGCTGCTCTGGGTCCTTCCGTTTTGCATCAAATACTTATCAAGAGACGCTGCGTTGCTCTAGACACTTTCTGTTTGGCGCCAGCTAAAGCCAAAAGAAACAGCGCTGGCCTGGGTACTGCGCGTTTGAATCCAATGATAAACTGCGCGCCACTGGGCTCATGTCGTCTGATTCCCTAGAGAGATTGCGCTACTCTGGGTCCCGCGTGTTAGAACCCCAAGAGACGCCTCATTGCTCTGGGTCTTGCAGTCTTGAGTCCCAAGAGAGACTGAACATCGGGAAGGTCGTGCATGGGGTCAACGTATTAGTCCATGCGGTTGCGACACCCTGAGGTTTCCTCCTCTGGGGTACGACTTTCGACCCTGGATAAATCACCGCCAGAAGCTTTTGCCTGGGTTGACATCCAAATCCCTGGGCTGCCCTGTTCTAGGTCGCTCTTGTTTTGGGCCCGCCGGCGCCAAGGAAAAACGCGCTAGAGAAATCTACACTGCTCTGGGCCCCTTCGTGTGTCAGATGGGGCGAGACCTGTGACGTCGAGAAGTCCAGGATCCAGTCTGCGGTCGTGGGTTTGAATCCTACGAGAAGCTGCCCTGGTCGGGGTCTTGTTGTTCACACCCTGGCATCCCGAGAGACGAAATTCTCTAAGGGTCCAGCATGCAGAGCCTGCGCTGCGCTGCGTCGCGCAACCACAGGCTCAAAAACTAAGTGCAATGATCTGGGTCCTTCCTGTTTGCTGCCCATCATAGCCAAGAAACTGCGCTGCTCTGGCTCCTGCATGCTTAAATACCCAGAGAAACTGCACTGGCGATTAAAGCCGACCGTGCGCACGGCAAAATTGCTGTGGCTACGGCCTGTCAGGAGGATGAGGAAGAAGAAGAAAGATAGCCCTTCCACATGGCCGGCAAGTATCTAGCAGCTGAATATGCAAAGCAAGCTTCATATTTCTCTCGCCCCGCCCCTGAGCACAGAACACAACTCGAGGGCAAGGTCACTGTTCTGCGTGAGTACGCCACACGGGTGACCAAAGTCGGGACTGCCATGGTGTCGGCCGACGCCCTCCATCTTCCAGTCGGCACGCGGGTTGCGAAATCCCACGCGCATCAGCTTGTCGTGTTGCCCCCCCCCGCCGCCCTGCACGCCGAGGTCGTTGTTGAGTGCCGACCTCGCGCACAGTCGGGTGGCGCTGGTGGAGGGGCGTTCTCAGGTTGAGCGCCCATTCCGCCACGCCGAGAAGAGTGTCTGGGGCGCCGCGGGCTCTGGAACTGCCCCTGCTCTTTCCTCCCCGTGCGCTGGCAGATTGGCTCCCGGTTCCTGGGGAGCTCGTGGGCTAGCAAACTGAGCTCGGGGCCGATACCAGGCGAGCACGCCATGGTGTTCTTTCGGACAGCGTTGGATCACTCGAGACCTCGTGTGTGCGGGGGAGACTGGCCCCCCCCCATCTTCGCCGATCGGCGCGTCAGGTGACATCGGTGCACCGAGCTCTCCAGCCCCAGGTGCACCTGCTGCTCCTCCAGGCGGAGCGGAGGCGCGCCCAGCCGCGTGAGACAGGCTCTCAGGCGCCAGGCGGGTCTTGCCCGCCCTGTAAGCAAGGGTGGTTGGGATCGAGCCTGACCGCAGAGACGCGTCGAAGAGGAAGAAGAACGATGATGCCGATGATGGCGATGGCGACGATGATGATGCTGCTGCTGATGATGATGATGCTGATGATGATGATGATGATGATGATGAGGATGATGATGCTAATGATGATGGCGATGATGATGCGCCCGTCGGAGGCGGAGAGCCCCTGTTGCCACAATAATTCAATAGCACGTTGCTCAGGCTCTGTCTGTGCAGCCCAGGCTGCGCAAATACTCGCCTGCCAAATCTAATGTAACTGTTGTGTGGCCCGCCTCCCCACAGGATGACAGGGGAGGTCCAGCCGGACTAGTCCCAGCGGTGAGGGAACAGGAATGATGATGATCATGATAATGATGATGATGATGATGATGATGATGATGATGATGATGATGATGATGATGGTGATGCTGCTGATAATGATGATGATAGTTATGATGCTGATGATGATGAGAATGGAGCTGATGCTGATGATGATGATGCTGCTGAATATGATGATGATAATGATAATTATGATTATGATGATGATGATGATGATGATGATGATGATGATGATGATGGTGATGCTGCTGATGATGATGATGATGATGATAATTATGATGCTGATGATGATGAGAATGGAGCTGATGCTGATGATGATGATGACGATGATGCTGCTGAATATGATGATGATGATAATTATGATTATGATGATGATGATGATGATGATGATGATGATGATGATGATGATGATGATGGTGATGCTGCTGATGATGATGATTATGATGCTGATGATGATGAGAATGGAGCTGATGCTGATGATGATGATGACGATGATGATGATGCTGCTGAATATGATGATGATAATGATAATGATAATTATGATGATGATGATGATGATGATGATGATGATGATGATGATGATGATGATGATGATGATGATGATGATGATGATGATGATGATGATGATGATGATGATGATTAATATGATTCGGATGATGGTGCGCATGAGGAGGAGGAGGAGGAGGAGGAGGAGGAGGAGGAGGAGGAGGAGGAGGAAGAGGAGAGGGATCAAGAGGAGGAGGAGGAGCAGGAGGAGGAGAAAGAAAGAGGAGGAATGAGGATGAAGGAGGAGGGAGGATGAAGGGGATGGAGAGCGTGGAGGGTAGGGAGGAGAGAGCACGGGGGAGGTGGAGGAGAAACGGAAGAGGGGCCAGTGGCCAGGGGGAGCGGCAGGAGTGAGGGGCAAGTTTGGAGGGGGCCGGGGGCCCGCTCACGCCGGGGAAACATCGATCTGAGATCGGCGATACCTCGCCCATAGATCGGCGATAGGCCCCCGATAGCACACCCGCGCGGTCCTGGGCGAGGTGGGCTACCAGGCCCCTGTCGGCGATCAGTGGGCGATTTGAGGTCGAGGCGCCCCCCCCCCCTGAGCCTATCCCCCCCCTGACGTCAGCTCCGGATGAGGAACGAGCGAGAGAATGAGCACAACGTGCGCGCAGAACTGCGTTCGCCCTCGGCGTTCTGCTCGCGCCCTCCGCTGGGAGAGGGGCGCGCCGAGCAGTCCTCCAGGAGCCGGAGGGCCTGCTTGGCCAGGTGCAGCTCCTGGGCGGCTCGCCGGTCGAGGGGGGGGCACCACCACGCCCCAGTCAGAATCACCAGGGGAGGAGGAGGAGGAGGAGGAGGAGGAGGAGGAGGAGGAGGAGGAGGAGGAGGAGGAGGAGGAGGAGGAGTAGGAGAAGGAGGAGGAGGAGGCGAGGAGAGGAGGAGGAGAGGAGGAGGAGGGGAGATGGGGAGGGGGGAGGAGGAAGGAGGGGGAGGAGAGGAGGAGGGTGAGGAGGAGGAGGAGGAGAGGCGGAGGACGAACGAGGGGGAGGGGGAGGGGGAGGAGAGGAGGGGGGAGGAGGAGGAGGAGGAGGAGGAGGAGGAGGAGGAGGAGGAGGAGGAGGAGGAGGAGGAGGAGGAGGAGGAGGAGGAGGAGGAGGCAGGGGGGCGAGGAGCAGGCAGGGATGGAGGAGGAGGATGAGGAGGAGGAAAAGGAGGGGGAGAGGGAAGAGGAAGAGGAAAACCAGAGCAAACCAAAGACTCATCAACGGTGCTGAAACAAGCCCTCCCTCTAAGCTCCCACTTCAAAGGCCCCTACAAATATTCCTTCCCACTGAGGGGGGTGCCTCGCTGGGAGATAACCGTTTGAAGACCCTGAAAGATGCCAAAACACCATCCTCGGGACTCCAACGCCACGAATCAACAGGACTGTTGTGTTTTGACGATCCTGAATCGTGCCAGAAAACCATCTTGGGACTTCAACACCATGAGTCAAGATAAGTGTTGCGCCGTCACAATCCTGAGCCCGTTGAGGAAACCATTGTTGGTACGGTGGCCATGGGAGCCCGCAGAACTCTTGCAATGTTGTGAGGCGAGTGCACGTGGCGCCAAGGCAAGAGCCACAACTTGAAAAGGAACGGCCCTCGATCCGTGAAACTCTTGCACATCTTTGGGACGAATGCGCACGGCGCTAAGGCGAGAAACACATGTTGAAAACGACCCGCCCTCAATCCGTGAAACTCTTGGTACGATCGAAAACGAATACTCGCGGCGCTAAGGCGGCGCTGGCATCCTGTCGCTGGCTGCCAGCGCTGACCTTATCAGCGCTGATGTGCCTCCTCTAGTGCCTTGCCCTTCGCCAGGTCTGAGCTCCGTCCAGAAGCTGCTGGGGCCGCTCTTTCTGATCGCTGCCCTGGCTCTGCTGATATTGGCCCTGCTACGTGCGCGGTGCTCTGCTTCTGCTAAACCCATGACGTCCATGTCTTTCTTGTCCACGATGTACTCGGAGTGCCGTTGCGCCTGGGGAGGGACCCAGCGGTGACGTTGAAGAGTTCGATGCGGAAGGTGCGGCGATGTTTCTTCTCCCTCGCCTTGTTGGTATTACCCTTCTGGCGGCTTGGCGTCTTGCTCCGCTGCTTTGCGTTCGCCTTCTTAGTTTCGGCAACCTTGGCTCTGGCTTCGGCGATGTGCGCTTCAACTCTGGCTTTCCGAACCCCTGCTTCGGCTGGGGCTCCGCCACTGTTTCATTCACCCCCAACGCTTCCGACTTCGCCTTTCCTTTGCAGGATGATGCCGGCTGGCCTGTGCTGGCGCTGACTCCGCTCTGGCTTGGCTACCACTTGTGCGCGGATTCTGCCCAGCTGGGTTTCCTCCCCTGCTGCTGCGGCCTGGTCCGGTTGTCTCTTCATCTTGGCCTGCTCCAGCGCCCAGCTGCTCTTTCTTGGTGCTTTCAAATTTCAGCCGTGGGCTTGTCGTAGAAGTCCTTGGCTGCTGCTTCATGCTCAGCTGCGGCGTTGGCCATGTTCTCCAGCAAGACGTTCGCCTGCCTCCATGTCTCCTTGTCCGCCTCGGCCCACTTATGGGGGAGCGGTCTGGCTCACGTTGTTTTTTTTGGGCCTCCGCAGCGGCGGCCACAGGTCGGGCGCTCGGCGCGCGCCGCGCGCCGCGCGCCCGGCCCGCGGGCCCCCGCGGCGCCCCAGCGCGTCCCCCAGCACGTTCGCATTCTGAAAATAACGCTTGGATATTCGTTCCCGCCGCCGGTGCTCCCGGTTCCAGTGCCGCTGCTGGGGGCCTGCCGACCTGCGCCTCCGCGGCGCCGAGCCTCTCTCCTCTGCCTCCTGAACGGTGGCGGCGTGCTCGAGGAGCTCGCGCTCGCAGTCGGCCAGGTGGTGCGTGGCGTTCTCGACCGACTCCAATGAAAACCATCCTCCTCATCCTCATCCTCCTCCTCCTCGTCATCGACATTTCCTCGGCGCCTGGCCGGCGTAGGCCCCTCGCTCTCCACCGTCACCTGGATGCAGACGCTCGGCAGCCCAGCCGGGGTGGTGCCACTGCACGGGCCGCTGGTAGCGGCGCCTCACCTGCCTTTCCCATGATCCTCTCGGCCTTGCCCAGCTTCCTGGCGGCGGCGCAGCGGCACAGGCTGCCGAGCTGCCGCCAGTGCGGGCCCGATCGCCTGGCGGTCTGCCCTTTTTCGGGTGGGCACTGCCCAGGGCTGCGTAACTACCTCCTGGCCGCGAGCTCCGCCGTGCCCCCACACCTCTTGGTGAGTGGGCTGTGCTTCCCTCTCCTGGCCATCCGGCCGCCCCCCTCGACCGATGTCGGTGCGTCCCGGCCGCCACGGTGCCCCTTAGTAGTCCTCGTGGGCGGGGGACCCGGCCGGCCAGCCACCCTCCACGGCGATACTCCAGATTTCGTAATAAAAGGGAGGGGGTCTGGACCCTCCAAGACAAGCCATTTCAGACCTCCCCCGTGGGAGAACCCTCCAAAACATCGTCCCCAGACCCCCCAGGCCCTCCAAGATAGCCTGGAAGAGACCCCCCCCGAAATGAGACCCCCCTCCCTTTATTACGAGATCTGGAGTGCTCGTCCTCGCTGCTGGTGATAGGGGCGGCAGCACCTCCGGCGCCCGCGGCCGCACACGCCGCGCAGCTGCTGCGAGGAGGCCGACCGCCACGCCTCTCGGGTCCTCCGGCCAGCTCCGCCGCGCGCCGCTCGCCCCGCCGCCTCTCCCCGCGCCCTATCGCGGCGTGGCTCCGCGCGCGCCCGGCGCCCGACGGAGAGCCGGCCTCCTCCTCCTCCTCCTCCTCCTCCTCCTCCTCCTCCTCCTCCTCCTCCTCCTCGGTCCAGGGGCTATCCCCGACAGCTCTGGGTCTGCTGGCCTGCAGAATGGCCACCCTGAGCCAAAACGGCGGCGAAACATGGAGGGGAGGAGGGGGAGGAGGAGGGAAGCACGGGAGGACCGTGGACGAGGCGGAAGAGAGGGAGGAGCGGGGGGGAAGGAGAGAGACGGAGACCGGGATGGAGGATGAAGGAGGAAGGAGCAGGAGGATGGGTGGGAACGGTTACAGAGGACGGGAAATGGTGGGAAGAGAGGAGGGAACTCGAAGAGGACAATCGTGTTGGGGCGAATGCCGCACGTCTGCGGTAGCCTGGGCGAGCCGCGTGGCGACAGAGGAGCACTCTACGCTGTAGCTGGCGGCCACAAGGCCGCAACGTTCGAGCCCAAATCGCCGTTCAAAAATCAGACAGCCATACTGCAACTATCTACATGCCAACGTGTGTATGCTTTGGGTGGCGAATGGGAAACGGCTTGTGGCGCCAGCTCGCAAGAGTACAGGAAGTCAAATGGCGAGTGAGGCGCCTCGTGATTCAAATGGTGAGTAAGGCAGCCTGGGTTGATACCCATCGAAATCTGCCATTGGAAATCTATGTAAAACAGAAGCAAGGGAAACTCAACCCGGAAAAAAGGGGGGAGACAGAGAGAGAGAGAGAGAAAGAAAGAAAGAAAGACAGAAAGAAAGAACGAGAGGGAGACAGAACGAGAGAACAAGAGAGCAGGAAAGACAGAGACAGAGAGAGAGAGAGAGCAAACAAAGAGAGATAGAGAGAGGGTCATGCTACACACATATATACATATGTATATATATATGTGTATAGGGAGAGATGTATGTACACACGTATCGTGTAGTGGAAGGAAGTGAGGGAGAGACACATATATATGTATCTATATATATAGTGGGAGAGAGAGCAAGGGAACTATACGGACATAAATATACAAAACAAACAAACTGATAGACCGACATACATTGCGGGATATCGAAAGGCAGAGAGAACAGCACATGCATATATGCATACACGTATGCACAGATCCAGACGGCAGGTCCAACCGTGTGCAGTAATGAGTTCCGCGTTGTGGGTACCGCTTTCGGTGGAGCTCCGTATGAGGCCGCGAAACGTGGTAGGAGTATTTTTTACAGGGCAGCAGAAATCGACCCATGTCGTCTCAAATGGGTTGGTTTTCTTTTGAAGGGCGACGAGGGAACAAAGGAGAGGAGGAGGAAGACGAAGCGGAGGGGAAGCAACGACGAGCCCAAAGCGCAAACACGACAACGCGGGAGGATAGGAAACGAGAGGGGAGGCGACAGAGCGAAGAGAGAAACGTGTTAGGAATATGCCGTAATGGGTCGGGGGAACGCGTGTGGCCGCGGCAACAGGGGAATCGAGAGGAGCTCCCTGTGGGGCCACGAAGCGACGTACTGGGTGGGAGAATGCGTGCGGCCGCGGCCACTGGAGTCTTCGGTGGAGCTCCCTATGGGGCCACGAAGCGTTGTGTTGGGTGGCGGAGAGGTATGCGGCCGCGGCCGCTGTTGTCTTCGGTCGAGCTCTGAGGCCACGAAACGGTGTACTGGGCGCGGGAGTCACATGCGGCCGCGGCCACTGGTGCCTTGGGTGGAGCTCCCTAGATGGCCACAAAACGTGTGAGGGGTTTCCCGGATCGGGCGCGGGGATGCAAGCGAACACAGCCACTGGGACCTTCGGCGGAGCTCCTCGTGAGGCCATGAAATATGCATTTTGGGGGGGGGGGGAGGCGAATCGGGTGCGCGGACGCAAGCGAACACCGCGACTGCGGGGGCGCGTGCGACAACCGCCACTGGTGCGTTCAGTGGAGCTTCCCATGGGGCCACGGAACGTGCGAGGGGTGTCCCGCATCGGGGTGCGGGGCCGCCTGCGAACACCGCCACTGGGGCCCTCGGTGGAGCTCCCGATGGGGCCACGACGGGTGTGAGAACGCAGTGCGAACACCGCCACCGGGGTCTTCGGTGGAGACCCCTATGGGGCCACGGAACGTGCGATCTTTCCCGAATCGGGTGCGGGGAAGCATCCGAACACCGCCACTGGGGTCTTCGGTGGAGACCCCTATGGGGCCACGGAACGTGCGAGGGGTGTCCCGAATCGGGTGCGGGGAAGCATCCGAACACCGCCACTGGGTCTTCGGTGGAGACCCGTATGGGGCCACGGAACGTGCGAGGGGTGTCCCGAATCGGGTGCGGGGAAGCATCCGAACACCGCCACTGGGGTCTTCGGTGGAGACCCCTATGGGGCCACGGAACGTGCGAGGGGTGTCCCGAATCGGGTGCGGGGAAGCATCCGAACACTGCCACTGGGGTCTTCGGTGGAGACCCCTATGGGGCAACGGAACGTGTGAGGGGTGTCCCGAATCGGGTGCGGGGAAGCATCCGAACACCGCCACTGGGGCCTTCGATGGAGCTCCGTGTGGGGCCGCGAAGCGTGCGAGGGGTGTCCCGCATCGGGTGCGGGAACGCATGCGAACAACTCTACTGGGGCCTTCGGTGGAGCTCCCTGCGGGGCCACGAGAACATGCGAGGGTGCGTGCCAACATGGGAGGGAGGAGGGGGAGGACGGAGGAGGGGAGAGGAGAGGAGAGGAGAGGAACGCGGGGCGCTGGCTCTTCAAACAAAGGGCCCAATACCACAGGATGGTTGGCAACAAAAGGAAAGAGAGAGAGAAAGAGAGAGAGAGAGAGAATAAAAAAAACAAAAAAGTGTGAGAGAGAGAGAGAGAGAGAATCCAGAGTCCTGTATGGTCCAAGGGAGGGAATGGTGCGTGATGGAACGAGCAGCTGTCGGGAGCCGAAGAGGCGCTTTCTGCCCCAACTCACCCCTGAAAGACTCGCCAGAAGACAGACGGGGC